CTGTTTAGTGAAAATGCGGGGGCCGCCCACTGGACACAGAATCTGCAAAGTGCGGGCCTACCACGCCGGTCGGTGGCATGTATTCTGGCTCGTGATGTAGATAAGAACCTCCAATCATGCAGTGAAACAAGCACGTGACGCATAGCCATGAATCCGTGCATGAACACGCATTTTCACACTAAACGATGCCCTGCCTTCCATGCTCTGGATGCCGCAATGGTCAAAATGCTACGCTTCTCACAACTTGGCTCCTGGTAAACAGCTTTCCGGCGGGCATAGGTTGCTCTGCGCAAGCCCGCTTTATGCTGTTTATCCACGATAATCACCATTCCCACGGCAGTCCCTAAGTACAAAATTCAAAAAGTATGTCCATGTCAAAAGCATGCCGGTTGCGTTCCGGGGCTGTTCTAAAGCAATCGGTGGCTGGCATCGCTGACAAGCCAATTTGCAACATTGCAAGACTCCCCGGTGCCCAACGTGCAGTGTGTGTGTGTGTGTAGAGTGCGTCGCCTCGCGAAATAGCATCATTCTAGTCCCATGCCTGGCAACATGCTATGCTATTTGTTCTCTTCGAGGTCTCCGCTCCACTCGCCATCCACAGATTTCAGACAGGGCAAAGCAACGCGACTTTCAACTAACTATCCAGGGGCTGTTCGTCTTCTCATCAACCAAGCGGGTTAGCGTTATCTCGGCTTTGATATTGACACACGGGCTTCCGCGCTTCAACGCGGCAAACGGAGACCCTCCGGCAGGGAGGGGGGCCAGGGGGGGTTGGGGGAGTGGGGCTTAGGCTTTCGCACGTTTCCGCGGCCAGCTCAAAGTATGCATTGATGCAAGAACTGTGTCCACAGCATCTCTAAAAGACTCCAGATGACAGCAGGCTCAGATGTTTTGGCGTCGGCGCGGTCGACAGCACTGTTTGCTGGAAGGAATGCCTCATCGGATTCATCAGCCTGGCTTGCTTATTTGGCTCGTGTGGAGCACATGACAAGGATGCAGACTTGGATGGACTGTCATGCAGCATAACTTCTTCATGTCGCAGTTCGAGAAAAGTCTCCCGCAGGTTTATGGTGTTGGGGCTTTAAGCTTGCAAATATCGAGATTAGGTCTGGGCCGCCTCCTGTGCATTTCCAAAACGAGCAAGCAGGTTCACAAGAACAAGCTGCAAGCACCCCAGCTCCAAACTGAAAGGAAAGAAAGACCTCAGCTGGACCAAGCATGGATGCATCGTCGTGAGGCCTGCCTCTAGTACAACCCCAATCGATGCACAGGTACCTTCCGTAAAGGCTTCTTCTTTGGCAGGAGCTTCTTGGTCTTCTTACGGAGCGACTTCCTGATCCAGCAGAAACATGCAGAACCGCACAATGAGGACTCTGTTTTGCAGGACCCTATGTCCTTATGTAAACAGCAAGCAACCATACTAGATAGAACCAGGATATGCGGGCAGCCGGCATGCTGGCGATGTAAGGATGCAAGCATGTACCTGGGTGTGTATGTGCATATGTACGCATGTACCTGGGTGTGTATGTACGCATGTATGTATGCATATGCAAGGTGTGAAAAACTATAAGAGTCTGAATATCAGGAAAACCCCACCAAAACAAAACAGAAGGTTCTCGCCTGGGCCGGGATCATGGGCGCATGGAATCCAGGTCCGGGCTCACATGGAGCTGGCATCATGGGTCCTGGTTGCTGGTAAACCTCGTGTGGGGAGGGCCTTGGTAGGGCCAGGCAGGCACGGGCGTTGGGGGGGTGTAGAATCCAGATGTCGCCTCACATGGGACTGGGTGGGGGTGAGGGCACATGTGCATGGGAGGATGTGGGTAGAAATCGTGAGTGGCTTCGCATGGAACTGGAGCTGGATAACTCGGAGGTGGCGGCGGACCTGCAGGGGCGTTTGCTAAACCTACCATGTACACACACGTGCATATATATATATATATACACATGTGTACAGACACAGACAGATAGTTCGACATACAAATACGGATACACACAGACAAATGTCTGTATACATACGTACATACGTACATACATACATACCTACCTACATACATACATACATACATACATATGTGTGTGTACATCCATGTGTGTAGTCTGCGGAGGTGTGTGTCGACACAAGACTTTCTCTGTCTACATATGTGTGAATGGATATGTTATTGTACGTGTATATCTCTTCATACTTACATACATACATACCTACCTACATACAAGCATACATATGCACACGCATAATTGTATGATTTCTGCAGTGTGTCCATCGCTCAGCAACATCAGACAATCGTCCCCGCTGCTTAGTTTCCACAGTTGCATCCATCTCCGTCAAAACGGCCCTACACGGCATTGCCCGAACCGCGCACTTCCAGTAGAACATCCTTCGCACAGCCCCATGAAAAGCCCCATGAAATGTCGGTTAGCTTCAGAAGCACAAACAGAGCCAATGCAACGACATGGGCTGAAAGTAGGTTCATCCAGATGCCGTCAGACACGTGCACGCAGGGCGGCCGAACTGCGCTACAAGTGCAAGCGCGCCTCCCCCTTCACAGTTACTCCATGGACCCTGCTAAGCCTATCAAGCAGCACGAAACCCGAAAAAGCCGAGTCCTTAGCCCTAAAGTCCTAAAGCCTGAAAGCCCTAAGCCCCACAGCCCTGAACCCGCCCCGAGGCCCCTGAACAACACCTGCATCCCGCATCCTGAACGCGACATAAGCCCGAAACCTGAATCCGAAAGGCCCTCCTCCCTGAACCCACACCAAAACATAACGGGTTTCGGATTTGGGTCTTTTCAAGGCCCAGAACCATGCACACGGGCTTTCCAAAAAGAGCCTGAGCCCTGAACACCAAACTCCACAGAACCCTTATAGAAGGCCTAGCTAAGGCTAACTAACAACGATGACACCCTGTTGAACCTGTCGACAAACAAAGCTCCAACCAAGGCCGTGGCTTTGAGGGGGTTCCTTGACGTAGGAATGCCTGGAAGTGCGCCTGCGGCTGAATTCCAAGGGCCTTTGTAATGGCAATACGACTTGCGGGATAATCATCTTCCATGACAGCACATAATATCATACAATTTTTTATACAATCTCACATGAAAAAATATTATACTGGTTTACATAAAAAATTTTGTATATATACATAGATATGGTGACACAATATCAAGTTCGCAGTCGCTCAGCAAAGTGAAAGGCTACCTGCCCGAAAACTTAAACCATGTTTTACTACCCCAGAAGGGTGAAAGCACGTCGTGCATCCCCAGCGAAAGACGTGGGCCAGCTTCGCGAATTAGGCTCAGAAGTTAGGTGGGACTTTAGGGTTAAAGGTTACCTACTGCTTGGGAGTCGCAAGGCTGGCCTCGACTGCAGTCGGCCGAAACTTGAATAAAGCACCCTTTTTCATTTGAACCCAACCCAAAGTAACAATGTCCCGAAATTCGCCAGCCTGGACCATCTGAGAAAACGTCGTCTCCACAGCCTCCATGCCACCGGGTTAATCGGACTGCGCCCCTCAACCCCCCCCCCAGACTCAGACTTGAACATGCCATAGGAACCTCCCAAAGGCCCGAACCCGAGAGACGCATGTTGGACGAATTCCGAACCCGAGACGAAAAACCGCCAAATATATCCTGAATCTGGACTTTACCTAGCTCTAATGGAGCATTCCTTGACGCCTTGCACCGTGGAAGAACACACTTTCGCAAGCCTCCCGCCCTGACGTCCTCTGTCAACAATGTGATGCACCAGTCTGTGTAGATAGCACGCACATGATTTTGCCCACGCAGCTTGAGGTTTCCAGCCTTGAATTGGAGGTCGCTTTGCAGTGTAACTTCACCAGAACTACAATATACTTACAAACTCGATTTTTTATTCCTACTCCACGACTTCATGAACTCCTCCCACACTTTATAGTACGTCTTCTTGAAGAAGGACACCCAAGCTTGTACCAGTCATTCCAATCCTCAGTGGCTGCGACCCCCGGGCATGCCACGGATGGCGAAACAGCACACAGTGCCCCAAAGCAGCCTCAGCGAGCTGTTGTGTCATGGGCTCCCCTGCACGGCAGCATGGAAATTTTGCGATGAAACAACCAACAGAACAAGACTGTGGTCATCGATCTGCTCGAAACAGAGCTAAGCTGAACTGAAAGAGGGTTGTGCAACAGCCCAACTTTGTGCCCAACCAAGATGGCGAGGAAAATGTGAACGGAGATGGGTTCTGTCCGGGTGTGGCTCACGTCGGGACCACCACAACATGCTCCACCCCAAAATCCTTGCGCCGGCACAAACCACGTGGCGTGCGAAGATTCTGTGGGGCTGTTGGGGATGCCGTGGAGTTTCCGCCGAGTTTTCTGGGCGGCATCATTTGAAAACTTAAAAAACCTTTGCCGAAGTTTCGCCCCGCATTCTTCACCGCGACCTCCGCCGGCAACTTCACCGGGTAGCTTCGCCGAAGGCTCCGCAACGACTGACTTCTTGGTGCAGGCATCAGGCCAAGAAGGCTTTCTCTGCTTGTATTTTGAAAATGTCTGCAGCGATCTGGTATTCCAGGTGTCACTGGGACTACATGTTTGATGTTTGTGATTCCCTGGAATCTTCTTGCCAATCGCTCTTTGGCACGAGGTGCGACAAGCCAGTGCCCCCATGGACCCTCCGGGCTGCTCACCCACAAAAAGAATGTTTTCCCTTTCTTCGCAATGAGAAAATCTCTTCGGGCCTTCGCAGCTCAAAGTCGTTCTCCTTATGGAAAGATCTGTGGGCTGCGTGGCGACGCGAGTTTTGCGCTTGGACAGCGTGCACAGCACCTCATCCAGCAGGTCCGTCACTGTACAACAGATTTCTGGAAGAGAGCTTTTGTTCTAGGCATGCAATTCCGTCTCCGACACTTCCTATACACTGCCGTGAAGAGATGGAAGAAAGGTCGGGCAGCCTGAGAACAAGGACCTTGATCTACGCGCACCCGACTCTCGGGAGGGCATCCGCCGCGCTCAAAGGGCATGGAGCTCAGGATGCCATACCTTTTGCGAGGTTGATAATGTCAATTAGCAGCTGGTTGCGCTGCTCTGCAGGCACAGCCTCGACGAGACGAGTGAAGTCCTCCATCGCTTGCTCCAACGTCTTGGGGCCGCTGTCGCCATGTAGTTGGCGGGAGATCATGCTGGCGTAGTTGCCGTCGTTTTGCAGCAATTCTTCATGCGTGCCCTGCTCCACGACGGCCCCCTCGTGCAAAACAATAATGTGGTCGGCATTCTTGATGGTTGAGAGACGGTGAGCAATGACCATGATGGTGCAAGCCCCTTGCATCTGCTGCATGAGAGAGTCAAGAGCTTCCTGGACCATGGCCTCATTCTCCGCGTCCAGCGCTGACGTGGCTTCATCCAGTAAGAGGATGCGCGGCCGTCTTACCAAGGCTCGTGCGATGCTTAGGCGCTGCTTCTGACCACCACTGAGATCGTGGCCACTCTCACCTACCATGGTGTTGTAGCCTGCACAATGTGTGAGGAACTCATTCGGAACTAATTGGGGCATTAGTGGAGAGGAATCAAGGGCAGGGTGAAGGGGTTAGGGGGCAGTGCAGGGGTAGGTAGGGGATAGAAGGTAGGGTGGGGGTTAGGCAGGGGCAGGGTAAGTGAGCAGAGGCAGGGTAGGTAGAAGGTCTAGGCGTCGGGGCAAAAGGGTGAGGGGGTAGATGGAAGGGGGTGGTAGAGCTGGAAATGTCCAAGCAGGCTCGTGGATAGGGTAGGGGTAGGGGTAGGGGGTAGAAGGTCTAGGGGTCTTGGGCGACTGAGATTCTTCCATGGCTTTTGTGCAATCGCGGAGTTCGGTCATCAGGACTTGCTGCAAACACTTTGCCAAACTCATGACCTGCAAGGAAGCAAAAGGTGATTCTTGGGTCGTCCTGCCTTCGGGAAGAGATCTGATGAACTCGTCGGCGTTGGCAAGCGAAGCTGCGCGCTCGACATCCTGCAGGGTGTACTCCGTTGCACGGAGTCCATAAGTGATGTTCTCTGACACAGAGCTCCGGAAGAGCTGTGTATCCTGCGACACGACTCCAACGTTGGCGCGGTACTGCAAGAGGTGGAGCTGCTGCAAGTCGACTCCGTTGAGATAAACTGCGCCCTTCACAGGGTCGTAGAAGCGCAGCAGCAGCTTGCTCAATGTGGACTTGCCGCAGCCGCTCTTGCCAACCACAGCCGTGGTCTTGCCGGCCTCAAGATCAAGCGTGACTCCACCCAAAACCTTCTTGTCTGGTCGGCACTGGTAGCTGAAGTCCACATTTCGGAAGCTGATGCCAACTTTCGATGATGGGAAGGGCTCCCCTCCTTCCTCTGCAATATCAGGCTCCAAGTCCATCAGCTCAAAGACACGTTGGCCTGCACTTACTGCCTTCACCGGCTCGTTTAGGTTGTCTGTCAAGGAAGTAAATGCGGTACTGAGCCGATTCCACAAGTATGTGAAGGTGATGATGGCACCAACCGGAAACTCCTGCTTCAAGGCAAGGTGGCCTCCATACCACAGGATGATGAAGGAGGCACCCTGCTGCACCAGCGTAGAGAGTAGATTTGAGCTTCCTTCGCCCCAGGCAGACTTCACACCCAGGTCTTTGAACTTCTGCATGTGGAACTGAAACTTTTCCAGCTCCATGCCCTTGGCACCAAAGGTCCTCACAGTGCGAATGTTTGTCAAAGCTTGGATGGCGCAGCCATGAGCGTCACAAATGAAAGTATGCTGCGACGCCATGAGCTTCCTCGCCCAGCGGCTGAATTCCCTGGAGATGTGCAGCACCGGAGTCAGCACGGTGAAGGCCAAGACAGTGAGGCGCCAGGAACTCTGCAAACAGATCACAAAGCCAGCCACGAGCATCACAATGTTTGCGGCGAAGTCATGAATGATGATGTGAACTGGGGAGGTTGCCTGTCGCATGTCATTGAATAAGCGTGCGCTCATCTGCCCCGTCATGGTGTGGTCATAGAAGGCGATGTCCTGTTTCAGCAGCGAGGCAAAGAGTTTGATGGACATGTCGGAGAAAAGGCGTGCGCTGAGAGCTCTGCTGGTAACGCTCAAGGCTGTTGCCGCCACTGCCTGCGCTACCACCAGGCATGCAAAGTCTGTGAGGTAGTGATCGAAACTGTCCTTTGAGCCAGTTGTCAGGGCAGTGATGATGTCTCCCTGAGTCTTGGGAATATACGCGTTCAGGGACTGACTGCAAGCAACACTGATTGCCACCATCGCCAGCGTGGAAACCTGAACCTGCGCAGCAAGGCGACGGATGTATTGCATCACTGTGAGGCGTGCCATGTGCTTGGGTCCTTTGTCGCCCCGAAGCAGACCACCTGCACTCCCTCCTCGTGCATTCTTTCGGAAGCAGCAGGTGCACACCTGAAAGCCGCCATGCCCCCACTCATTTCCCGTACACTGTCGACACTGCACCACCAAGAAACCCCCAGTTCGCTCACCCACCTTCTCATTGCAAACGGAGCACTCCACGAAGCCCTTGTTCTCAACATCATTCCAGTAGAGGAGGTGCTCGTGAAGGGACAGCTTCACACCGTCCCCTGCACTCATCTCCTCAACCAAACCTTTGATGAAAACAAACTCCAGCTGCATGATGGGCAAGCTCAAAATCTCGATAACCACCCAAAGGCTGTTCCAGAAGCTGGAAACGTCCACGGTCACTACCTCCAAGGCAACCCGTAAGGAGCAAGCGCTGAGGTAGAAGAACGCAAGGAACAGCAAGAGGCTGGACCACTTCTCTCCCTTTTCTTTGCGCTTCAACTGCTGCTGCTGCTCGGAGACGTTGGAGTTGAGCTCTACATCGAGCAAGGGCCTCGCGCGGACTTGTGTTGATTGTCTTGACTCTGTTGACTCTGTTGGGGTGCGGCAGTGGCTCCAAGGCCACCGGCAAGGCCACCGGCCCTTGACGAGGCGCAACGCCAGAGCCGCAAGGAAGGAACCCCCCACCAGACGGCCCGCAAGCAAGAGCAGGTCGACTGCTCCACAGCGCGATGAGAAGAGCACTCGTGCGAGGACGAAGACAGAGTCCAGGAGGAAGACCGCCACGGCGCCAGCAATGAGCCCCATGCCTGACCAGAGAGTGCGGGTGCCCCCAAAATTGAGCCCAAAAAATGGCTTCGGCCGAAAGAGCATGATCCCGGTGCATGCGCCTCCATGCTCCCTAGACTCCCGAGACTTTTTGGTTTAGGTCAGCATTGTCAGCACACGCCGTCAACAGGAAGGACAAGCTTGACAAGCCCAAGAGATGCCCTCCCCCCGGCGTGAGCGCCCCAGGACTCGGCAATCCTAAGAAAGGTTGGACCTCTGAACAAGTCATACTTGCTGGCCTTCAACGGCATGTCTGCTCGTTGTCCAAACCCTTGGGAAAGCTCTGAACCCTCTTGAATGGGCTGACTTTTTGTGCGCCCTAAACTCTAAGCCTCTAAGCCCCAAAAACCCAAAGGACACCTCTCCAGCTCCGAGCTGGGGCGCTGTCTTGAGGCTTAGGGGGCGTGCACTGGCACCGGAACATGAATCTAACTTTGTGAGCTTCGGAACTCAGAGTAGTGAAGGTGCCTTCGGAACAATGGCCCACAAAGAGGGCTCTGAAGGAGTGGTGCTGCCTAGTGGATTGCTCGGGGTTCTTTCGGAAGGGCAACATAGTTCAGCAAGAACAGCGATTCAGGACAGCTTGTGGAGCTTTGGCAGAAAACTGGAGGTTTCCAAGGCGAGATGTGGAGACAATTCCCATATCCAGAACGTCAAGCTGGAGGACCCCGCTGTCTTGGACTCGCGTTTCCGCGCAAGGAGTGGCCAGACCTCAACCCTGCAACAGACGGTCCACCCGACACCATCATCAACACTGCGCCCGTGATTTTGGCACTTGTCGCATGCGTGTGCCGAGTTCCGTATGTGCACAGGCGGGCAGATGTGCATTCCGACAACCATGCTCCGGCTGTTTTGGTTCGCTTGGCACTTCTTGTTGAACCTGGCATCTCAGGGGGAATCCTTTGCAGGTGAGGCTCTCAAATTTTGCCGGGAAGGCAGCAGCTGGCTTCTTCATAAAACATGCTGGGGTGCTTTCTGACGTAAAGGGAGGTGAGTGGCCCTTTCTAGCTAACCCATCTCGACCGTGATCTCAGCCTCCAACCTTTTCCACCCAAGGGTTTTAGGCTTCAAGCACTACACATGACATCCAAAACCCTGCAAATAAGATCAATATTCTTCCGGCCGAGAATGGCAGGATACTGCCCAGCTAGGTTGCCCAGTGAAACAGAGGTACCCTTCTACTACCCTGTTTTGCTTCACTTGGTACATGACGGAATCTAACCCCTAAATCAAAGGCCTCTGAGATGGGACTGGAGGGTGGCCGCCGAAACCCGAAGTATGGGAAGGGGGGGAAGGTCTTCAGTTTACTTTTCGGGTTCTTGGGTTCTTTGCTAAGAACACGACCCACCGCCTGGGCAAAATTCTTCAGTGGTACTGGTCGCGGTCGGCGATACGGTTGTCGTGGATGTAGTTTAGACCTGGCACACCAGGACTTTCAGACGATCCGAGCTGTGTGCAAATCTCATGCCCGACCACCCAGTATCCCTCACCCTGAAGTCGCGTGAATGGACGAACTCCTTCTCACTCGCACTTCAAACATGTCATGTCTTTTTGATAATGTCCTAGCATGTGCTCCGAGGCTCTACCTCTAACCTCGACTTTGAAATCTGGAAGACTAGGGCGACTAGGGTTGACATGTTGTGCTTCCTGTTGCCATTGTGGTTGTCGTCGTCGTTGCGGTGGTTGTCAAATGTTGTCAACATCCCCTGGTCGTTGTTGTGGTGGTGGTCAGCATCAGCTCGTCATCGTCGTCGTGGTTGTAGTTGCGCAGTTGCAGTTGTTCTGCGTGCGGTGCTCTGGTTTGATGATCTGAAGTCTGAAGCTGATCGCAGTTTCTGCTGCGACGTTATGCTGCTGGTGCTTCTCAGACCCCTTCTCAGGTGCTCTTGAACAGTGTTGCTTGCTAACTTGCTACTTTACGTTCGGCCAATCAGAACAAAGGAGATGCGAATGAGTTCACGTTCGACAAAAACCAAAGCAGTCTAGCTGAGCAGCGGTGGTGGATGGAGCAGGACAAGCAAACGTCTGGAGAGGGAACGGCGTCGTTGAATTAGCATTGCTGGTCTCGCCGTCCAGCACGTTTATGCCAGGAAAGGTCCAGTCGGCCAGTTGAAAACCCGAGCCACTAGGGACCACGGCCTTTCGGTACCCCCAGGAATCTAGGTATGCCCAAGGCTGTCCTGTCCCATCTTGACCCACTTGCCCGAAAAAGTCGACCGAGATGCCAAGCCGTTGCAGAAGGAGCGCATCGTTTCCGTTGACATTGAGGACACCGCTGGTGTAGTTGGGGTCAAACCCGAAGAAGGCATTGAAGTTCGTGGTCTCGAAAGAGACGTAGATGAAGCCTCCTGCTGTGGCGGAATCGGAAGGGAACGTAAAGCTAGTGCTGGGTGGATTGCCATTGAAAGCCACTTGCAACCCCCAGTCGCTCAAGTCCGGAATGTCATTGACGACGTACAACTCCATGGCCTTGGGCGTGCCCCCTGACAGGGGACCATCGATGACGCCCGCGATGATCATGTCCGGGAACTCATCACAGACCCCTGCCACGGTTGTCGTGGATGTAGTTTGGACCTGGCACACCAGGACTTTCAGACGATCCGAGCTGTGTGCACATCTCATGCCCGACCACCCAGTATCCCTCACCCTGAAGTCGCGTGAATGGACGAACTCCTTCTCACTCGCACTTCAAACATGTCATGTCTTTGATAATGTCCTAGCATGTGCTCCGAGGCTCTCCCTCTAACCTCGACTTTGAAACCTGGAAGACTAGGGCGACTAGGGTTGACATGTTGTGCTTCCGGTTGCCATTGTGGTTGTCGTCGTCGTTGTGGTGGTTGTCAAATGTTGTCAACATCCCCTGGTCGTTGTTGTGGTGGTGGTCAGCATCAGCTCGTCATCGTCGTCGTGGTTGTAGTTGCGCAGTTGCAGTTGTTCTGCGGCTGCGGTGCTCTGGTTTGATGATGTTTGATGATCTGAAGTCTGAAGCTGATCGCAGTTTCTGCTGCGACGTTATGCTGCTGGTGCTTCTCAGACCCCTTCTCAGGTGCTCTTGAACAGTGTTGCTTGCTAACTTGCTACTTTACGTTCAGCCAATCAGAACAAAGGAGATGCGAATGAGTTCACGTTCGACAAAAACCAAAGCAGTCTAGCTGAGCAGCGGTGGTGGATGGAGCAGGACAAGCAAACGTCTGGAGAGGGAACGGCGTCGTTGAATTAGCATTGCTGGTCTCGCCGTCCAGCACGTTTATGCCAGGAAAGGTCCAGTCGGCCAGTTGAAAACCCGAGCCACTAGGGACCACGGCCTTTCGGTACCCCCAGGAATCTAGGTATGCCCAAGGCTGTCCTGTCCCATCTTGACCCACTTGCCCGAAAAAGTCGACCGAGATGCCAAGCCGTTGCAGAAGGAGCGCATCGTTTCCGTTGACATTGAGGACACCGCTGGTGTAGTTGGGGTCAAACCCGAAGAAGGCATTGAAGTTCGTGGTCTCGAAAGAGACGTAGATGAAGCCTCCTGCTGTGGCGGAATCGGAAGGGAACGTAAAGCTAGTGCTGGGTGGATTGCCATTGAAAGCCACTTGCAACCCCCAGTCGCTCAAGTCCGGAATGTCATTGACGACGTACAACTCCATGGCCTTGGGCGTGCCACCTGACAGGGGACCATCGATGACACCCGTGATGATCATGTCCGGGAACTCATCACAGACCCCTGCCACGGTTGTCGTGGATGTAGTTTGGACCTGGCACACCAGGACTTTCAGACGATCCGAGCTGTGTGCAAATCTCATGCCCGACCACCCAGTATCCCTCACCCTGAAGTCGCGTGAATGGACGAACTCCTTCTCACTCGCACTTCAAACATGTCATGTCTTTGATAATGTCCTAGCATGTGCTCCGAGGCTCTACCTCTAACCTCATGTTGTGCTTCCTGTTGCCATTGTGGTTGTCGTCGTCGTTGCGGTGGTTGTCAAATGTTGTCAACATCCCCTGGTCGTTGTTGTGGTGGTGGTCAGCATCAGCTCGTCATCGTCGTCGTGGTTGTAGTTGCGCAGTTGCAGTTGTTCTGCGGCTGCGGTGCTCTGGTTTGATGATCTGAAGTCTGAAGCTGATCACAGTTTCTGCTGCGACGTTATGCTGCTGGTGCTTCTCAGGTGCTCTTGAACAGTGTTGCTTGCTAACTTGCTACTTTACGTTCGGCCAATCAGAACAAAGGAGATGCGAATGAGTTCACGTTCGACAAAAACCAAAGCAGTCTAGCTGAGGATGGAGCAGGACAAGCAAACGTCTGGAGAGGGAACGGCGTCGTTGAATTAGCATTGCTGGTCTCACCGTCCAGCACGTTTATGCCCGGAAAGGTCCAGTCGGCCAGTTGAAAACCCGAGCCACTAGGGACCACGGCCTTTCGGTACCCCCAGGAATCTAGGTATGCCCAAGGCTGTCCTGTCCCATCTTGACCCACTTGCCCGAAGAAGCCGACCGAGATGCCAAGCCGTTGCAGAAGGAGCGCATCGTTTCCGTTGACATTGAGGACACCGCTGGTGTAGTTGGGGTCAAACCCGAAGAAGGCATTGAAGTTCGTGGTCTCGAAAGAGACGTAGATGAAGCCTCCTGCTGTGGCGGAATCGGAAGGGAACGTAAAGCTAGTGCTGGGTGGATTGCCATTGAAAGCCACTTGCAACCCCCAGTCGCTCAAGTCCGGAATGTCATTGACGACGTACAACTCCATGGCCTTGGGCGTGCCACCTGACAGGGGACCATCGATGACGCCCGTGATGATCATGTCCGGGAACTCATCGCCACAGACCCCTGCCACGGTTGTCGTGGATGACCCAGCAGTTGTCGTCGTGGATGACCCAGCTGTGGTCGTCGTGGGTGACCCAGCTGAAGTCGTCGTGGATGACCCAGCTGCGGTCGTCGTGGATGCAGTCGAAGCCTTCGCGTGATCATAACACTTAGACGCAGGGCCTGCGCACCTTTAGCTTCAGTAGATGATGTGCGTTTGCGATAACCTTGCTCATGGAAGGGTCTGGCTGTGCTGTGCGCGCGTGGTGCTGTATGATATGGTATGTACGTAATGTATGACTTGAACTGTGTGTATATACGGACAAGGCCAAGAACCGAGAGGTAGCCAGTCTTCTAGGTCAAAAAAGCAGAACAGAAGCTTGCATAACGTGATGTTAAAGGGTTGCGGGACATATTCTCTGCTGTATATATCTTTAGGGATGGCCCAGAATGTAGAAAAAACATTGTTGCAAACTCATCAGGCTCGTGATCCAAAAAACCAGCCAGGGAGCGCCGTAATACCAGCCGTAGTAATGGGGATGGTAGCGGCGACGGCCGCGGCGGCGTTTACGACCCCCCCGGTACCATTGATGCTGCAAAAGCACATTGACGTCACCGACTTGTGCATCCGAAAGGCACCTGTTTGCAGTCATGTTGTTTCTCAACACTCGACACCATAAACCCGTATGCCGAAGACCGCAAGCTAAGAAAGGCTGGAAGTGGCGAAGGTAACTATAGGACTATAAGCCATACAGCAAAGTTAGCAAAGTTGCTACCCGGAGCATGGATGTGTTATGGGCTGACTTGTGCGTTTCAACATTTCAACATCGGCTGGAAGGATTTCAGTAGTTGCGAGTTGGGTTGCTTTGGCGTTGTTGCTGCCCAGCCACATCTCATCACCATGCTGGCAGGACTTCGTGAGCCTGAGCATGACTGTGTGCGCCGGAACACGAATCGAAGCAGCAGCAGTGGTAGGAATGCACATAGTAGTACATCATGCTGCTGTGCGTTGGTGTGATGACGTGACTCGCACATGCTTGAGGCTAGGGGCGTGCTCGAACTCCATGCAGTTGCCACGCAGCCAGCGAAGAGCACCGCGCTAATCTTGACGATCATTGTCAGGAAAGCCGGCTGCTAAGCATACAGGAGTTTACAGGAGCGCTTCTGGCTCCTGATGACAGCTTGACTCATTGGTCAAGTGGAGCCGAGACTCTACAGGAACCAAGAATGACAGCGTCCATGTCGGGTGGCAGACACAGCACAGACAGGTTCTTCCTGGATCCACACTGCACCTCAACGCACCTGAACCCTACCTCGAACGACTAGAATTTACTTCTTACCATTGCCGAGATGTAGTCTTCAAATCAGTTTTACTGGTACTGCTCGCCAACCTACGTACCACAAAGCCATCGTCCGACGAAGTCTGCAACACACGCAGCACGTTGCGAGCGGCGCGCCTGCGCACGGGCGAGCAAACGGATGAAAGTGGCTGCTTCGGCACTCCAGCGACCACCAACCTCAAGGCCAAGAACCACCAGCCGGCACCGATGAGCAGCAGCGAACTCAGGGTAAGTACCCTCCTTGGCCCGGCGCGCCTCCGCCACGGCTACGCCAGCTGTGCTGCCACGCCGGCGACGGGGCATTCCGGCGGAAGTGAGTGGTGAGACCAAGGTTGTGTCAACGGCTAGTTGTGAGCCGCCCCACAAGGGCAAGCCATTGGCAATAGCTTCAATGCGTCGCTCATCATGTCTGGCTGCCGAGAGGTTCAAGTCGCGGACAAGGATGTTGGTGGCAACAGTTGCACCGGCCTCACGACATACCCGACCGGCGGCTCGCTCAACAGGGCCCCCCCGCGCCCTGAGAACGCCAGACAAAGGGCTGACAGCAACATGGTCACCCAGGGCATCAAGCGGACGGCCACAGCGGCATCGCGCGGGAGCGAGAGGTCGCTGAGTCGAGGGCGAGCTCAGGCGCAACAGGGCGGACAGCACCCTGGCGGTAAAGGGGCCGGACTGCGAGTCGAAGAGCGAGAAGGCAGGGCCAACGGCACGACGGTGCTCTGCGGCGGCCCGATCGTCAAGGGCTAGCCTCAGCAATGGCGTCGGAGGGAGGTCGCAGTTTTGCACCGGTGACCACTCAACAGCATCACGTGCATCCAGAGCGCGCGCCAACTCATGAGCAAGGGAAAACACCCATGATTGCGGATGCTGGCTCGCAGCGTAAGCAGGATGACCTGCAAAACACCCACGCGCAGACTGAGAAGTCGAGCCCACAACCCGGCCGCAAGGATGAGTCGCGTGGTACAAGCATCATGCCAGGCAAGTTGACCTTGCACAGCAAGACTAGGCGAACCACGAAGCCATCCGGGCATGCGTCGGCCCCATTGCAGAAGACGCGTCTGGAAGTGTGCCAGCTGCGGGCTAACTGTCACAAATTCCAGTCCGAAACAGATGGATGGATGAACATACGTTTGAAATAGGTGCTCCACAAACAAAAGCGGGAGGTTAGCGGAACCCGTCCAGAACGAACTGGCTGCCATTTTGCGTTCGCCCCGTCCAAGTAAGCGATCAACATGATTTTTTCTCGCCTTTTTTCCATCCGCAGAAGTCCGGTCGGGGCCTGTGCCACGGGCAGCAGCTGCCCCTAGTGGCCGCGGAGCGGCAGGCGACTTGGCCCTGCGGTGTCAGCAAGGTCAAGTACCCGATCCAGCTCCGGGCCCTGTTGCTGGCTGGCATGGCGTGGTGCCGGCCACGGGAACCCAGGGCTGTGCTCGTCACGGCCTGTTGCCCCGAGACGGAAAGGATCGCCCACCACCTGCGCGCCCATGCCGACGACGCGGCGGTCCGCACGGCTGGCGGGCCTCGCTGAGCGCGAACCCGCACGAGGTCACGGAGCAGCTGTCGCGCGCCAGCATTCCACCGCCCGCCGACCTCTGTCCCTAGCACGACGAGCTGCTGCGGGCCGCCTGCGAGCAACTCCGGGTAAGCTGCTTGCTTGCGGCCGCAGAGCAACTCCATCATGAGCCGCGGCGCAAGGCTGGGGCAAACCCGTCCGCGAGAGCGGCGAGACCAACGTCGCGTCGCAGCAGAGGGCCGCCAAGCGGAGTCGCTCCGTAGATGACGAGGTCAAGGCGTCGGCGCGGACATTGGGCGCCGTGGTGTGCCCTAGCCATTGTTGGGGGACCACCTGCCCGTCCGCTCCAACTGTTTCCCTGGCCACGCGCGCCCACGCCCGTTCCAGGGTTCTCGCCCGGCGCGCCAACAAGCCGGTGCGGATGCATGCCAAAGCGTGGTCGCCCAGCGCGTCTACCTCCCCCCCCGCAGCCAGGCGGGCCACAGCGGTTGCACCGGAGGGGCAGGGGCAGGCGCAAGCGGCGGCGCAGCGCCAGCATCATCGCTCGGGGTGGAAGGGTGCATGCTGGCTCGCAAGGTATGGCAGTCAGCCATGCTCCGGCCTGGGGGGCAGCTTGTGACCGGAGAAGGGCGAGTTGGGATGGCGACAAGGAGGGTAGCAACGTGCTCTCGCGAAAGTGGAGGCTGCGTATACGCGATGCATAGTGCTGCCAATCCCCGAGGCCTCGTCCGACGAGCGCGGCGGACGGGCGCCCTCCGCAACCGTTGCCCAGGAGGAGAACTCCTGCCAGCCTTCCACCAAATGGAGTTCGCGCGCCTCGGCCGCGCTTTGGAGGCTTGGTGCGTGCCCCCCTCCGTCTGTGAGTAAACGCACACACATGTTTGGTAAGAGCGGGGAACGCTCGCGCAGGAGGGGCAACGCATCCGCCCAGGCGGCCCAGTACGCGGACGGCGCCGCGCGGGCAGCCGAAGTCAGCCCAGGCCTCCGAGGGCCGCTGGCAGGGTCGCCACGTTCCGCGTCAGCTTCGGCGACGCCGCCAAGGCCGCCGACTGTGTACGCACGTTTTGCCCTCATTGGAGGCTATGCCGCATTCGGACTGTACGACCTCGACTACGGTGTCGCGGGCGGCCCGCGTGCGCTCGCGTCTAGTCAGGACATACAAATCGTCGAGGAATGCAAGCAGGCTACGGATGGCGGGCTGAGGCGGCCTTGCACAATGCACGGTGTTGGCCCAAGGCGAAAAGAGCTGGGGCAAGCGGGTCGCCTTGTTCACATCCCTCGCCTTGAGCAACGTCCCGGCAGGAGCCCTGGGCGTCCCACCAGCAGTAAGTGGAAGGGCCCCCGTAGAAGAGCCTCACGAATGTCTGGCGCCGCTTCCTGGAGGGCGGTGAAGAAGGATGCCCGCGACATACTATCGGCGCTGCGCCCATCCAGTGAAACGAGGACCGCGTCTTCCTGCAGCTCCAGGGCCGTTCGCACATGCGCTGCCAGGGCATCCGTGCCAGCGCGTGCCTGAAGCGCGAACTGGTATGGGCGCGTCGCAGCGTCAAAAAAAAATCCGCCGCCCAACTTTTGGCCAAGGCCCGCGCCACAAGGCGGCGGAACACGTCTCCCGTCGCGATGCCGCGAACTCCGCCGTCCGGCTTGCGGAGTCAGGCGAGCCAAGGCCACTGCTGGGATCACATCCGCGGGCACCTCCGCATTCGCTAGCTGGGTCGCCGCGAAGGCCAGCAGTTCCATAGCGGGCACATCAGCAAGCAAGATTTTGAGATGCTCGGCGCTCATTCCCGACAGTCCCGCTGCCCCGCCCCGCCGGGCGTCGCGCAGAGCCGCAGCAATGGCCGACGGGCCAAGCTGAACGGACTGGGCGGGGCGCGCCCCCATGACGGCCGCGGGGACGGGTGTTCGCGGCTGGGGTGGCCGCGCCGCCGTCAGAAGCTGGCGAGCCCTGGGAAAGCTCTCCTGCCCTCACCTTGGTGCACGCCGCCTCTAGATGCCATGGTGCTGTTCCTTGGGTGCGCGAGGCGGCACGGCGCGCGGAGCCCAGCAGACTGATCCATTCACCACGCTGGAACAACGCCGCGCGCGACAGGAGTTCTCTTCGCCCTTGCGCTCCCTGGTGGGCCGGGCGCGCGTGCGAGGAGT